TAAGATCTCTACAGTTTCAAGAAAGGCAAGACCACGACATACATCACGAGCTATAGATACTTTTGTTACCCACCCAATATCTTTTACAGTATAAACATCCTTTAAAGAACCTAATGCTGCCCATTGTAAAACTTGAACTTCTTTTCCTTCAAGACGAGACAAACCATAAAACTTTAGAATATATCTACATTCACTTAATCTTTCCAAGATTGCTAATTGTTTATGAATTTTTTGTTTCTTTTTTTGATCATTTGTCTCTTTAATATTAAATTCTTTGCAAGCAACCTCTTCAAATTTATACATTCTTTTACACAAATAAGAAGAATTTCCTAATCTAGAAAATTCATCTGGACTCAAAGAACAAGGAGTTAAGTCTTTTTGTTCTATTTGAAACGGCTTAAAAACGAATGTGTCCCGAGACTTCATGATATTGATCTCTGAAATAACTTCAGAATTGAACCCAGAAATTTTCAAAATCTGTAGATAAAATTATTTATTATTAATGAGTTCACATACAAGTAAACAGAAATCATCATAATAATGTATGTAACCTTTTTTATTTCATTTAAACTTGATTTTAATTCGTCGGTATCCAACTTTCGCTGTTCTTCAAAATCAATTGCCATACTAAAGTTTAAATGTTTCATAGAGTTATCAAACTCTTGAGCTAGAGATTCAAACTTTTCTTTAATCTCTGTTGCTCTAAATGTTAATAGATTTCATATTTGAAAATTCATCTACAAATCTTTTAATCTTTTCCAATGTAGTTATAAATTTTTGAAGAGAATCATAATATTCTTGTTCTTTAAATTTTCCTTCATATCGTTTTTTAATTAATTTTAATCTTTTTATTTCATATTCTGCCATTAGTACACGATCAACTAATCTGGAACACATATTTTTATTGAATTCGGACTTTTCATAAATTCCAACAATTTCTTTAATCAGTTTTGATATAGCATCAAGTACCGGAATGAATGATGATGCTGCTTCGGCAATCTTTGCTACATTTTTAAGCCCTTCTACTACAGCTTCAGACATTTTTTAAATATTCACTTATGTACGTATGTAAGTATGAAAAGAAAAAAA